TATTTTTAGAGCATATTTTTAACAAATAAATGCATATTTTTAACAAATAAACGCATATTTTCAAATGCTTCTGTCAAGAGTTTTATATGCAGTTTTCAGTGCCTGTATTTTGTAATGAAATTTAAAAAAGAAGGAATGAAGACAGAGTGAAGAAAATAGAGTGTCTGGTAAAGGTTCAAGAGGAAAGGAAGAATGTTTTAAATTATCTTTATAAACAAGGAGTAAGGAAATAAAAATATGAATATTTATGGATATATATAATAGAATGATGATTGGCATATGATTGTACTGTAATCAAAGTTTATGCTTGCTAACAAAGATGCCTGGTTCGACTTTTGGCACCAATTAGAGTAAAAAAGAGCAGTGAATGTATATCAGATGATAACATATGATTTTTCATGACATCTGCTTGTAACAGGTTTTGAACACAGTATATCAGGCCCAGCAGACATGTCCTTCAGAACAGACGCACTCCTCACTTCCTTTGGAGAAATGGCCTCCTCGCACAACCAGGTTATGTGGAAATATCCCCTTCAAGTCACGTGCCCAATTAAACCCGGAAGAATAATAAGTGATGTCTATTGCAGAAGAATTTGAGGAAAGAGTTTGGACACCATAAGCAAAAATTGTTTATCCCATATAAATTGTAGTGTGAATATTGTTGGATTTCCCATAATGGAATATTTATATTTTATCTCACTAATACAATCTTCATATTTTATATTCTGTGTTTAATGAATCCTTTGATCAAAGCTGGTGATAGCAATATTCAAAATTTGATTCTTATCACAAACAGAACACAGCTCTCCACCATTGTGAGGATCAGTTGGTTAATGCTCTTATGGAAATGGTTGCTGTTTATTTTGAGAATCATACAAAGTACATATAAATATAGTCCGTGGGAAAAATGCAGTCAGTGATTATTAAAGCACGTGGCATATTTAATTTCCTGTAGTGTGTAAGGAGGTAGCCACGGTGGTCTAGCGGTTAGAACGCTGGCCTTGTAATCCTGGGGTCTCGGGTTTGATTCCCGGCGGTGCCCGAATTTATAACGTGTGTTGGGCAAGACCGTGGTCTAGGCATCACGGAGTTTTCCTCCGGGTGCTTCCCCGGTTTCTCCGTGGCATCCCAACAATTACTCCATTAACACACAGAAGAAGGCAATGGCAAACCACTTCTGGATCATCTGCCAAGAACGTATATGAACAGGTCCCAGTCCGAGAAAAGGATGGAAGGATCCTGTTCATACGGACCTGTCAGAGGCGAGTACCACACAATTTGTTGTAATACTAAATCTGCTGGAAGGGAGAGTACTGTTCAGTCCGAGAGATTTGCCTCTACTACACATAACAAAACAAACCAGAGAAAGCGTTGGATTGACTAGGGTGCGCCGTATAGTTCACGGGAAACTTTAAAAATAAAGAAACGTAAAATTCCCAAGGACATCTACTCTCCATCATAATTGCCTTGCCAATTCCCTGCCTGTGTACTGTGCTGAATGCTTACCTCGGATTAGTGTCAGCTGAGAAATATTGGGTGTTTTTATTCAACAAGACCAGGAATTATTTAATCATTAGTACGCACGGAACGACAAGAACTCGCAAATGAAAACAGTGAAACTAATCAGAAGTCCGAACAAGAGAAACACAAACACTGATTGTAGATGAGAAAATGTCAGCGTTGAGGACTCTTGTTCGGTGCTCAGAACCCGTCGAAGTCTCAGGGTGGTCATCATCTCCTCCCACCACTGCCCCAGCAACCCAGCTTCCACCGTGCGCTGGACAACACTGTCAAGTCTCTCCAGCAGGTGACTCCCTTTCGTCAGATACATCACGAAGTCATAAGTCAGAAATGCATCATGAAAAGGATTGAAAAAATTTCTTCCGCTTCGATCATTGTACTCAAAGCCGTTCTTGTACTGCGCAAGCGTACTCGACACTAACATTGCGAAATCCCCTCTTTCTGCCATCCGTCAAAAACAGTCATCCCCAACGCCAGCGCAGTGACTGCGGCGAGATAGTATCTTATCCGTAGAGTCATTCAAATATCTGTCAAATCCCGAGTGGCACCCGAAATCCAATTTTGATCGCACCAGCTCATCAACGGTACGAACCTGTTTTTCGAACCCTGGATTTATGAGGTTAAGAACAAAAGGTACACCGCGTTGATGTGCAGGCAATATATGACCCAGATCAGAAATAAAAGTCGGGTCTGAGATGCACGCGGCAGTTCTGGTAGTGAGACCCCGAGCACGACGGCCCACACGTGAGTCAAACTTTTGACCAGAATTTCGTAAGACGTCTCCTCGGAAAGACAACTCATGCGCCATAACAGCAGGGCTACTGAGATACTGAGAACGATGATGCCCACCTACGTTTCCTTCTCAAAACTCCTGTACAAGCCTTTCCTTTGCGGCACCTGATTGGGACGTCTCACGTGCCACACCAATGAGTCTTTCAAATGAGGGTCCGTGCATTCCAACACCTCGCATAATTCCGTGTCCAGAAGTAAAGCTCCAAAACCTAGCTCACTTACGTCATTGAAGGGATTTCTCTTTATGCCAGTCCATGTGTTATTGGGGAGTTTGTCTCCCCATTTCTCATTTCCGGTCAAGTTCAGCTGAAACCGCAAATTCATCTTCATTATCGATTGGAATAAACGTCCCTCGAGACCGTCTTTCGATGTCACGTCAGGGTTGTTGTTGTAAGGTAGAATAACAAATGGCTCGATTTCAGTTGTCGAAACCTTGATGCTGCATCCTTTCAAGTCATGGGGAATCTTCTGTGGGAACAAAGAAGAACCGAGAAGAAATCGTCCACTGTCTTCAAAGACCCAATAGTTCAACGTGGTTACACGTAATTGTGTGCACGTTCTCGGTGACCCATAAGGAAACCAAGTGTATAGGACCAGAGCGGATTCCTGGCGCGCAATCGCCACTACCGCGTTGATCACCCTGAAATTCCACAAGAGTTGTAATATTTGCTTCGCCATCGCTCTCCTGTATTGATCGTAATGTTTTGTGATAAGGACCAAGAATTTGCCTCTAGGGTTCCAAGAAGCTCGTGCCTTCAGCGCCTGTAGCTGTCGCTCTGTGCGTTCTATAACTCCTTCAGGATCAACCGCTGTGCAAAATTATGATGTAATCAGCGTCCTTGTACGTTCTTTCCTGAAGCCCACCGTCGTCTGCGCTGGAGATGACCAGTGATCATTTCTGTGATTCGTGCAGCAATTGTATCGCGTGATACACGAAGTCCCCGATATTCTCCTTGTAATCGTTGCTGAAGATATTAAAATATTTATATGAATCTTTGTTGATGGAGGCATCACTTACTTCCTCAGAGTTTGCAGAGTTATATGAATTCCATGTTTTTTGATCAGTATTACAGTAACGCCCTTTATGGTCCCCAAATTGTTTCTTGTACCTTTTAGAGCGCAGGTCACGAATTACGTGGTTCTTATTTTCAGCAGCCGAAGAACTGTGCTTCCGGTTAAAACTCCATGAGTTTTCTTCCTTGTGGCTATATGAAATTCCAGACTTTGCACCCATGTAGCTGTTATTTTTTAATATCCTTAACTTCTCAATTTTTCTGTTAGTGGAACCGGGTACTTTCTGTTGGTCGAAGCTCGTTTCCAACGCCACCTTGTTGACGTCTTGCTTGTTTGGTATGGATGTGACCGGTGTGCCACCTGGAGAGAATTACTGTGAACTAATCGAGTTCATACAACGCAAAACAAAGAACTTTGTAATTTTATCTGCTGTTGACATGCTCACAGACATTACCAGCCACGCAGAAAAATAAACAGCACACACCTGCATCCCAACCACTGACTCTTTTACGTAGTTCCAGATTGGTCATAATACGTATATTAAGTGTTGTTGTCTACGGACTTTCAGGTTACAAAGTTTCGAAACGTGGAACGACGTATATGTTTTGCGGCATGGATTCTTCCTTTTCTGGTACGTTTATAGTGGAAAAAGAAACTAACCCGGTCAGTACAAATTCCGTCTGGCTGCAACAATTTTTCGTGTTTGTTTCCGTCACTGCTGTCCGCGGTCATTTCGCTTGGTAGTTGCCCAAAAATACATTCGAAGCCACAAAGAGTTTCTCTTGCAAGCAGAAACATTTCACCAACACGAATCCTGCCATTTTTCGTCACTAATATTTGTTTATTGATTTAATACCGGAAACGAGAACAATTTAATTCCTGTTTCGAGAGCAGCAATGGTATTGTTGTGACTATGGAAACATCGGGGGGGGGGCGTCCAGGGCCTCGCGCCTTTATTTGTGTGTTGGAGTTGCTTTTTCTCTCTAATTGTTGCCGTACTTTTTAAGACCAAGAATAATTAAGTAGAAAATGAGGAAATTTTTTATAAAAGCCTGAGGAGAATAAGCAAATTTAAATGCCTTCCATGAAATGCTGTTGTTGATGGCAGACTGTGTACTGTTTGGTCACATTGTCACAATTTAAACTCTGCTGTTAATTCAATAATTAACCGTGTTAAGGATTTACGGCTA